AGGGGCCCCGCGCTAATGGAGCGGCCGGCGGATCTGCTAACGGGAAACACGCGGCAAATATGACAAAGTTTAATGTTTGGTTTCGGTAATCGGTAACGTGTGAGTAATTCTGCAGTTTTAGTCTGGTCGAACTGTATGATGTCATTGAGTGGTAAATCAGGAAGTGCATTCTGTTGATGTTTATGTTTGTTATGTTATGTACATGTTATGGTTCCCACATTTTTCAGACTATTAGGTCACTTCAGTCTGTTCTTGTATCTGATCTTTTAATGTCTGAACCACACAGATCCGATTTTTTTTCAAATGTGACCCAGGACACTTGGATCTGTGCTCCTGAAACTGACACATATCTGATCTTTAACATGTGACTTCAGTGTGAACGGTTCATCCACCTACACGTTACTTTCTTGAAATAAAAGTATTACACAGAGGGATTTTACTGTTTTCACATTTTGGGCAATTCCCTTTTTTTTTTTCTTTCCAGTAATTCCACTCATTGCCAGACACTAAACCAGGACTAAACCAGGTCTAAACCAGGTCTAAACCAGGTCTAAAACCAGGTCTAAACCAGGTCTAAAACCAGGTCTAAACCAGGTCTAAACCAGGTCTAAAACCAGGTCTAAACCAGGTCTAAACCAGGTCTAAACCAGGTCCAAACCAGGTCTAAACCAGGTCTAAACTAAACCAGGTCTAAACTAGGACTAAACCAGGTCTAAAACCAGGTCTAAAACCAGGTCTAAAACCAGGTCTAAAACCTAAACCAGGTCTAAACCAGGTCTAAAACCAGGTCTAAACCAGGTCTAAACCAGGTCTAAAACCAGGTCTAAAACCAGGTCTAAACCAGGTCTAAACCAGGTCTAAACCAGGTCTAAACCAGGTCTAAAACCAGGTCTAAACCAGGTCTAAACCAGGTCTAAACCAGGTCTAAACCAGGTAAAGGTCTAAACCAGGTCTAAACCAGGTCTAAACAGGTCTAAACCAGGTCTAAACCAGGTCTAAAACCAGGTCTAAAACCAGGTCTAAAACCAGGTCTAAACTAAACAGGAAAACTAAACCAGGTCTAAACTAGGACTAAACCAGGTCTAAACCAGGTCTAAAACCAGGTCTAAACCAGGTCTAAACCAGGTCTAAACCAGGTCTAAAACCAGGTCTAAACCAGGTCTAAACCAGGTACAAAACCAGGTCTAAACCAGGTCTAAACCAGGTCTAAACCAGGTCTAAACCAGGTCTAAACCAGGTAAACCAGGTCTAAACCAGGTCTAAACCAGGTCTAAACCAGGTCTAAAACCAGGTCTAAACCAGGTCTAAACTAAAACCAGGTTTAAACCAGGTCCAAAACAGGATTTAACAGGACTAAATCCTGCTGTGTGGACGTGTTTCTTCTTCTTCTATCAATAATATTTTTAATTTGGTTCAGTAAAGTCTGGACTTTTTATTTTCTTTTATCAGACAAAACTTCTTATGTGAAGATTTCCTCGTCTTTGTTTCTCTACAGCAAATCAAGTAATCCAAAGTATTCAGATTACATTACTCACTTTAAGTAATTTCATGGATTATGTTACAAACTACATTTTTGTGTATGTAATCTGTAATCTGTAGGGGATTACATTTTAAAAGTAAACTTCCCAACACTGCAAACGTCACTATTCTGCGCTGAAGTAGGAGAAAACTGTTCATGATCCATGTGACTGAAGTGAAGCACATCTCCACTCACCACAAAACACCACCACCAAAAACCTCGTCCTTCTCCTTCTCAATCTCCTCCTGTATGTGACAAGTCAGTGTGAACATTAAACGGTCCAAAAGTGGCTCCCACATGTGACACTGGAGACACGACGACGTCAACCACAGCGAGCGTCTCTGTGTTTACAGAAGTTCTGTCCAAACATGGACGCAGCATGCGAGACGTCGTGGAGATTTTAAAGTGTCACATGTACGGACACTTTTGGACCACAACATGAACACACTGGACTTGTTTACAGGAGGAGATTGAGAAGGAGAAGGACGAGGTTTTTGGTCGTGGTGTTTTGTGGTGAGTGGAGATGTGCTTCACTTCAGTCACACGGATCATGAACAATTTCCGTATGACGAGAAGAATGTTTGTGTACATTTGTGAGCGCCGACTTGTGCCACTCTCGCGGGAGGAAACACATCTTTGGCGGCTTATTTCCGTGAGCAAACGCGTCGGTGTTGGGCTGTATTGGCTCACAACAGGTGCTTGTCACCGCACAACAGCCAAGTCCAAGTCAAGTAGGTCGGATGAATGCGCCTTGTCCGTTCAGACTGAAGTCACATGTCAAAAGATCAGATATGTATCAGTTTCAGGAGCACTTATCCAAGTGTCCTGGGTCACATTTGAAAAAATCAGATCTGTGTGGTTCAGACTGACATTAAAAGATCAGATACAGGAACATAGGAGCCAAAAAAATCACATTTGGGTCACTTCAGGTGCAGACTGAACGCAGCCTAAGACAAAACGGCAAGTCCAGCCACAAGCGAGTTGGTCCCAAAAACAAATACTAGTACTTCTGTAATTTGGCAGCATTTTGACTTCAGGCGCACAATTGTTTAAGTTTTACAGAAATTAAACTTAAAACTGCATGGCTCATTTGCAGAAACTATAAAGCGCTGATAAAAACAGCTCAGTCCTTGTGTCGCTGATGTGGTTCAGTTTCTGTTGGACTAAAGGACACAGTGACTCAGTGGAATATGAGTGTTCTCTCTGTGACAGAGGGGTGTTCTGCTGATGGTGAGTCTGTTCTGTGTTTCTGTCGTGTTGTTGGTTCATGTGAAAAGTTTCAGAGATTATAAGTCTGCAGGTTGAACACACAGACTGTACAGTGGTGCGGCTTCGTGGTTTACCAAAGTCGTACTAAAACATTTTGGTAATACGGTGATACTGTATACTAGGGATGGGCATGATTAATCGATTAATCGATAATTGATCATTAAGAATTTAATCGATTACGTTAATTTTAATGGACAAACTGAATGTATGTTGCTGTGTGTGTCGTGACCAAACAGGTGTGTACATGTGTCTCTGCATCAGAAGGAGCGAGACACAAACAGTGGGTCAGTCTGTAACGAACCGAAGCACAAATGTGGATTTAACCAGGATTTGTAGAAGAAATTCCACACTTTCCGTTGCGTTGGGACAAGTGTGAGTCCATGTGCACAGTGGATAAAGCAGCACATATGTTTCTGTGTCCAGTGGGAAAAAGTTTTTCCAGGTGAGAGTCGCTCAATGTGGATGACGAGGCCCCGCCCCCCTCCCCCCGTACGCTGTCCTGGTTTTGACAAACACAAATCTGGTCACACTGACCTGTATTCACCTGAGTCATGTCTTTTAATCCAACACAAGTTGAACCACATCAGCGACACAAGAGCTGGAGTTTTATCTTCACTTAGTTTATGTAAATTAGTGATGTGGTTTTAAGTTTTTTGTTTCTGTGAGATTTGAACAAAACTGAATTAAACACATTATAATGTCAAACAGCTGATGTGGATCTAGAGTCGTTATGTTTATATGTCGTAAAGTTGAATTTATTTATGCAGATTAGTGCAGATAGTAATAATAATGATGATCATTTTAATATAAAAACGTTAATGATTAATCGATAATCGATCGTTAATTCTTCCGACGATCGATTAAGAAAATTTCATCGAATGCCCGTCCCTAATGTATACAACGGTAAAATCCTGACAAGGTTTAACGGTATCAACATGTGGACACGGCCCGACCCTCAGGAGTAGTTCAGGAGTCGTTCGGGAGTCGTTCAGGAGTCGTTCAGGAGTAGTTCAGGAGTCGTTCGGGAGTCGTTCGGGAGTCGTTCGGGAGTCGTTCGGGAGTCGTTCGGAGTCGTTCGGAGTCGTTCGGGAGTAGTAGTTTCGGGAGTAGTTCAGGAGTCGTTCAGGAGTAGTTAGGGAGTAGTTCAGGAGTCGTTCGGGAGTAGTTCAGGAGTAGTTCGGGAGTCGTTCGGGAGTCGTTCGGGAGTAGTTCGGGAGTAGTTCAGGAGTCGTTCGGGAGTCGTTCGGAGTTCAGTAGTTAGGGAGTAGTTCAGGAGAGTCGTTCGGGAGTCGTTCGGGAGTAGTTAGGGAGTAGTTCAGGAGTCGTTCGGAGAGTAGTTTCAGGAGTAGTTCAGGAGTAGTTTCGGGAGTAGTTCGGGAGTCGTTCGGGAGTAGTTCGGGAGTAGTTAGGGAGTAGTTTCAGGAGTCGTTCGGGAGTAGTTAGGTTCAGGAGTAGTTCAGGAGTCGTTCGGGAGTAGTTCGGGAGTAGTTCGGGAGTAGTTCGGGAGTAGTTAGGGAGTAGTTCAGGAGTCGTTCGGGAGTAGTTCGGGAGTAGTTCAGGAGTAGTTCGGGAGTCGTTCAGGAGTAGTCGTTCGGGAGTCGTTCGGAGTAGTCGTTCGGGAGTCGTTCGGGAGTCGTTCGGGAGTCGTTCGGGAGTCGTTCGGGAGTAGTTCGGGAGTAGTTCGGGAGTAGTTCGGGAGTCGTTCGGGAGTCGTTCGGGAGTAGTTAGGGAGTAGTTAGGGAGTAGTTCGGGAGTCGTTCGGGAGTAGTTCGGGAGTCGTTCGGGAGTCGTTCGGAGAGTCGTTCGGAGTCGTTAGGGAGTAGTTCGGAGTAGTTCAGGAGTCAGTAGTTCGGGAGTCGTTCGGGGTCAGTAGTTTCAGGAGTAGTTCAGGAGTAGTCAGGAGTTCAGGGAGTAGTTCAGGAGTAGTTCAGGAGTCGTTCAGGAGTCGTTCAGGAGTCGTTCAGGAGTAGTTAGGAGTCGAGAGTCGTTCAGGAGTCAGGAGTCGTTCAGGAGTAGTTCAGGAGTAGTTCAGGAGTAGTTCCGGAGTAGTTCAGGAGTAGTTCAGGAGTCGTTCAGGAGTCGTTCAGGAGTCGTTCAGGAGTCGTTCAGGAGTAGTTAGGGAGTAGTTCAGGAGTAGTTCAGGAGTAGTTCAGGAGTCGTTCAGAGTAGTTCAGGAGTAGTTCAGGAGTAGTTCGGGAGCAGTGTTGTTTACCTTGACAGGTGCGGGTGGTGGTGTTGAGGTAGTACTGGTGGGCGCAGCTCTCGTACTGACACTCGCCGAACTGCAGGACTTTGTTTGGGTCCAGACACGCCGTGCACGCTCCCGGGGCCGTGCACGTGAGGCACTGGGGGTCGCACTCTGCAACACACACAGAGGTCAAAGGTCAAAAGGTCATGTTATTAAAATAATACAGAATATAATAGACAGCAGCACATTGAGACTATATCGATTATACTGTACTAAAGGTGCACTGTGGAACTTTTTTTTTTGTAAGGGGGAGGGTCCGTCACCTGCTAATGGTCTAAACCAGGTCTAAACCAGGTTTAAAATGCAACAAGAACAAAAAAGAGACCCAGACCAGGACTAAACCCCAACAAGAACCAACACAAGACCCAGACCGGGACTAAACCAGGACTAAACCAGGACTAAACCCCAACAGGAACCAATATGAGACCTAAACCAGAACTAAACCAGGTCTAAACCAGGTCTAAACCCCAACATGAACCAACACAAGGCCCAGACCAGAACTAAACCAGGTCTAAAACAGGACTGAAACCTGACAAGAACCAAAACAAGACCCAGATCGGGACTAAACCAGGTCTAAAACCAGGTTAAACCCCAACATGAACCAACACGAGACACAGAACGAGACTAAACCAGGTCTAAACTAGAAAAGCACTCAGAGAGCGCAGACCTCCGCCAAGGACTACAGTCCCCTCATATTAATTGTGTTTTCCATAAATATTTGTCTCGTATCTTTCAAATTTGGAATATGAAAGAGGATCCCATTGTCCATCCCTGAGTCAAATTTCATGGGGTTTGGTCAATAATTAATCGAGATATTGAGAAACTAAATTTTTGGCCCCATTTACCACAATGTTAACTAAAATTTCAAAGTGATCCAGAATCCAGGATTTCTTCCGGATCAGCCCCAAAATGAAATCAGTTCTTCCTTTTCACATTTCCAACAAATCCTGAAAATTTCATCAAAATCGGTCCATAACTTTTTGAGTTATGTTGCTAACAGACAAACAAACAAACAAACAAACAGACAAACAAACAAACAAACAAACAAACAAACAAAACAAAACAAACAGACAGACAGACAAACAAACAGACAAACGCCTGCAAAAACATAACCTCCTTGGCGGACGTAACCAGGTCTAAACCCCAAGAAGAACCAACAGGAGACCCAAACCGGGACTAAAACCAGGACTAAAACAGGACTAAAAACCTGACAAGAACCAACACGAGACCCAGACCAGGTCTAAACCAGGTCTAAACTGGATCTAAACCAGGTCTAAACCCCAACAAGACCAACACAAGTGGTTCTTTTTTCTCTGTCTTGAAAAACTTGTATTCTTACTGAGAACAGGGTCACGTATCCACAGATCTGACCCGTAACTCGGCCCAGGAGCATCACCTGCTTGACTTCATGGAGACAGATGTTTAATGTCACACTATGGGACATTTCAGCAACAGCATCTCCATGGAGACAAGCAGAAAAGCTACGCAGTGAAGCTTTTAATAATGAAAAAAACATTTACAAACGGAACAGCAACTAGTTTCTTTAAAGGTGTAACTTTTTTGGTTGGGAGTCTGTCACGTTCATGTTGCTATGGAGATGTTATTACTCTGTCTGGAATGTTCCACAGTGTGACATTAAACAGCTCTACTTTACATTTATTCAATTACAGGTGGTTTTAGAGCTCAAAAATACTGAAAAACTGTCACGAAGCAATAACATCTCCATGAAGAAAAGCATTTGACAGACCTTCCATGAGAAAAGTTACACAATGCAGCTTTAATTTGGTTTTATTTCATCCCTACTGCAAAGGGGAGTTGAACCCGGGACCTTCTTGCTGTGAGTTAATCAAAAACCCTGAGGTTGAGGTACTGACCGAGGCAGGTCCGCTGTGCGTCCTGGTAGAAGCCTCGTGGACAGGAAGGAGCGCACTGACCCGACCTTAAAAGGACGAAGGGGGCGGGACAGGAAGTGCAGGACAGAGGCCCCGCCCCACTGCAGGATCCACAGGACGAGTGGCATTCTGGGAAAAAAAACAACAAACAAAACAAAATATGAGTGAAGTTATAAGTTAAATGTTTTGTTTCATCCACCAGGCGTGTTTGAGTAATGCTGCAGTTTTAGTCTGGTCCCACTGCATGATGTCACTAAGTGGTAAAACAGGAAGTGCATTCTGTGTTTATTTTATTTATTCATTTAAATTTGTAATATTTTTTTTAAATTAGTATAAAACAAGTAAGAACCAGGACTGAACCAGGACTAAACCAGGTCTAAAATCAGTCTCAGTCCTGGTCCTGGTCTCGGTCTGGTCCCTGTCTCAGTCCTGATCTCATCCTGGTCTGGTCCCGGTCTGGTCAGGTCTGGTCCCAGTCTAAGTCCCAGTCTAGGTTCCCCGGTCTAGTCCCGGTCTCAGTCCCATCTCAGTCCGGTCTCAGTCCCACTCCTGGTCTGGTCCTGGTCTGTCTCCCTGGTCTCCTGTCCTGTCTCAGTCCTGGATCTCCCTCTCAGTCCCGGTCTCTCAGTCCCGGTCTCAAGTCCCAGGTCTGTCAGTCCTGCCTCCTGGTCTCGATCTCAGTCCTGGTCTGGTCCAGGTCTCAGCCCATGTCTGAGTCCTGCTCCTGGTCCCGGTCTGGTCCGGGTCTCAGTCCTGATCACCCGACCTACACGGGCTCATCTCAGGGCGGTGTTTTTTTTCATTTTAATTTGTACTTTTATTTACTTATATTACTACTTTATTAATATACTTTATATTACTTTTATACTTTATTACTTACTTTAATAATTATATAATGATAAAGATTTTATTTTATTTAGTTTTATTCATGCAATAAGCATAAAACAAGTACTTTTATTTATTTATTTCGTACTGTTTTTATCTGAAGAACCTGAGCCGGTGTTGTCCTTAAGTCGAGTGTTTTTGAGTCGTTCTTCTCGCCGACACCTGCTGCTCGATAATGAAATAATGAAGCTCTTCAAATGATCAGCAGGATGATGAACATGCACATGTTACATGTACAAGGTTACTTTAATCAAACTCCACATTTGTACCAAACACTCCAGAAGTTTCTGCGTCACGGCGGCAGGACACTTCAGATCTGTGGAGTTTCTCGAGAGGTTCCTTCACGAACAGAAATGAGTCGTAATCAGAGACGGGAACAGTTTTAATGGACTTGAGAAACTCTACTTCCACTTGTAAAATATTTATCATTATATATTTTACTCGGGTCCAACAGATATGGATTTTGTTTGCGACGGAAATAATGCCGATAAAACGGGAGTTGGAGCTGCCGATATATTTAGTGTTGTAAAAATTCACTGTAAATCTTGAACTGTTTAAAAAACTTACATTTGGCACTACTGGATTTTAAAATTGGGTTTATTTAAGTGACATTTATCATTAGTTCTGCCTCTTTACATCAAATTTACAGACAGTAGGTCGGACTATAGGCGTTATTGCATCACATTCTAGCCAGTAAAGAAAGTAAACTACCGCTATTAGCCTTAAGCCGTAAATGTGTAAATGTCGATCATTCACACCTCTGTTCACAGCTCATTTACAGATCAGTGCAGGTCCAGTAACAAATATACGGCCAATCCAGTCACTTTACAATAGGCCAATGTAAAACAGCCTGTTTATGTCGCTAAACAATGAGAAAGAACCAAAACCAGCTTCAAAGTCGACATATTTCCAACACTCAGCGTCACACAGGCTCCTCCCACATCACAAGTCTGAACTAATAAATGTCCTTTTAATCCAGACTCAAAGCGATTGTCCGTAAAAAGAAGTGACATGAGTGTTGTGACTCTGTGGTGTGTTCAGGGACAGTAGGACACACACACAGACAAACTCCACAGATAAACACTGATGTGGAGCCACATATTCGGACATTTATCTGTCTGTAAATTGGATTAAATGAACAGAATGTAGAAAGTCTAAGATTTACAATGAGGTATAACATGCTCACGGGAAATATCGGCCCATATCGGCAAGATTTAGGCCGATCGCCGATATGTTTCCCGGTGCCCATATCGGCTGATAATATCGGCCAACCGATATATTGGTCGGGCCTTACTTATTTAAAGTAACAGTATTTTTACTTGAGGCTCGTCGTTCTATTGGTTGTGAGTGAAGCTGCGTTCACACTGAAGCGTCCAGTTTACACACTAAGTCTGTGTGGACACGTGTCTCGGTCGTCCTGTGTTTCTTGTTTTTTGTGCAGAGCGTCTTCAGGCGTCAGCGCGGCGAGAATCTGGGGTTAATGTTGGCGCCCTGCGATTCGCACGCAGGAGTTGAAAAAACTGAACTTTAGAAGTTGGACGCACCAAGTCAAGCGTCAGGGACGACTGCTATAGATGGAACTATAAATAAAAATACTGTGATTTAACGTCGTAAATCACATTCTATTGTTTAAACAAAAGGGTGCGTCTCAAAAGATTTCCTGAAAGACTTGAACACAAAATAATAGTCTAATTCAGAAAGTTTATTTTTTTCTACAAAAAGACGTGGACCAAGAAAGAGTTTGGGTATAATTAAAAATGATCAAAATATTACGAGATAACAAAAGAAAGAAAAGAAACGACTGGATTCTCTCAGTGAACCAAATGTTCCTCACTGTCTTATTGAGCCAAGCAGAATACAGCTCAATAATATTATCATTTAAAATGACTGAAATGAAAAATGAAAAAAACTTTAAAAAATAAATTAAATTAAAAAACTGAAATTCAGAATCTGCGTCCATGCCTCACAAGGAGAACATGCAAACTCCACAAAAGCAAAAAGCACTGGCCTGGTTTTTGTGTTCATTTCCTTCACAAATGTATAAAGTTGAGGTTTACATGAGCTGCATCGCCTCCTGAGACGCGGCTCATTCATTTGTGTCCTTCATGTCCCCAAACATGTTTAAACTGTGTTTGTTTTTGATGAAGAAACATTATACACGTCAACAACATCAGGGAGTAACTCCGAATCCACACCAGGAGCTGCAGCAGCTTCACGTAGGCGGAGCTGCGCGTACGCGAACATTTCAAAGTTTCAATTCACACCAGAGTCAGAGACGCTCCTGCTGCAGCTGCACATCCTCTCACTGTTTTCAGACATCACATTTTGTATTTGATTTTTATCATTTATTTTATGTTAAAGTGTATTAAGTTAGAATGTGTATTAAGTGTATTGTGAATTAAGTACATGCAATGCAATGCGTTTGCGTTTAATGAGGTTTAAATCTATTAACACGCACATTAAACACCTCAGTTTTTTTTCTTAATAAGGTAAAATCACGTATAATTAACAAACATTATGAGTGTGATTAAAATCTTATGTCCGTCCAGGTAATAAGGCCGATACGTTTATATGTTGATACAGAGTCCTGCACCGATGGAGAAGGGAAAATAGTCGCTGAAACGGGCGAGTTTTAACGTTCTGGAATTTTAAGGGCGGGTCAGGACTAATTCAGGTCTAAACCAGGTCTAAACCAGGTCTAAACCAGGTCTAAACCAGGTCTAAACCAGGTCTAATCTTGGAGAGAGAGAGAGACAGTGAACCCTGAGCCCCGTGGAGCAGTGTGTCCGAAAAGCGCGACGGCTGCACGTACCTCTTCTCCGAGCTCTGCACCGGTCGTTTCGCCCGCGGACACTCGGGGCGACACGGAAGGACCCCGAGCACATTTCGACAGTGAGTCCTGGTTCTGGTTTAGTCCTGGTTTAGTCCTGAGTCCTTGTAGAATTGGTGTCTGACATCGTAAATCACGTGCGCGTTGTTTACGTCGCTGTCTTGACTTTGGTTAAATTATTTTGAAAAGGCATCGGAAGTTTATTTTGACACCGCGTGTTTATTTCCTGTCTTTCCCCTGCTAAAAACCTTGGAGACGCGCTGTTGATGCTGAAGTCCAACCTCTGGAGCAGCGTCAGCGTCAGACGCTCGTTGGACACGGCGTGTATGACACTGTCGGTGTTGCACTGTCAGACCGGTTCAAATGGAGTTCTAAAGCTGAACAACAGAGTAACTGAACACTGACTCACCCACACAGGCTCCGTGTCGCCCGAAGTGTCCCACAGGACACTCGGAAACGCAGTGGTCTCCCAACAGCAGAGTCCTGGGCGCTTTACACCAGAGACACACACTGCCCCCTGCTGCCCGGAGGTCTGCCGTGCAGCGCTGACAGTCCGCACTGCATTCTGGGAAACAAACAAGAAATCAGAGACAGAGATCAACACATGTACAATAAAAACAAACTCTTTCTCGTTGCATTTCGCCCTGTGGAGTGTGGAGTTCTGCGCCGGTCCTGCATCTCCGGCGTTTCACTGCTGCTGATTTCACCGAGATTTCAGTGAATTTGTGAAGGAAAAACCCACCACTTCAATTGAAGCATTGTGACTTGTATTACTCACATTTGTACACAGTGAAATACTTATATTTTTTCCCTGTAATTCCACATTACTGCGTTACTGCAAAAAGCAACGCAGCACAGTAACTCATTACCGTATTTTCCGCACTATTAGACGCACCTCCAACCAAACTCAGAGTCCACTCAGGCGTCCAGCGCGACTTCAGTAAACTACAAACACACACACACACACACACGGAGCAGACAGCGACCGCACACACACACACACACACACACACACACACACACACACACACACACACACACACACACACACAGACACACTCATCACTCCACGCCGACGAGGAACGGAACAGAGGAACAAACCGAAAAAGCCACGAGTGCAACGTGCCGCTTCTAGACACGACTGAACAACTGAGTCACTGTGAACACAACGACAATCCAGACAGCAAGAACTAAACCAGGACTAAACCAGGTCTAAACCAGGTCTAAACAAGAACTAAACCAGGACTAAACCAGGTCTAAACCAGGTCTAAACCAGACTAAACTAAACAGGACTAAACCAGGACTAAACCAGGACTAAACAAGGTCTAAACAAACCAGGTAAACCAGGTCTAAACAAGAACTAAACCAGGACTAAACCAGGATAAACCAGGTCTAAACCAGGTCTAAACAAGACCTAAACCAGGTCTAAACCAGGTCTAAACAAGAACTAAACCAGGACTAAACCAGGTCTAAACCAGGACTAAACCAGGACTAAACCAGGTCTAAACCAGGTCTAAACCAGGACTAAACCAGGTCTAAACTAAACCAGGTCTAAACCAGGACTAAACCAGGTCTAAACAAGAACTAAACCAGGACTAAACCAGGACTAAACCAGGACTAAACCAGGTCTAAACCAGGTCTAAACCAGGACTAAACCAGAAAACTAAACCAGGTCTAAACCAGGACAAAACCAGGACTAAACAAGGACTAAACCAGGACTAAACCAGACTAAACCAGGTCTAAACCAGGACTCAACCAGAACTAAACAGGTCTAAACCAGAACTAAACAAGAACTAAACCAGGTCTAAACAGAAAACTAAACCAGGTCTAAACCAGGACTAAACCACGACTAAACCAGGTCTAAACCAGGTCTAATCTTGGACTAGAACTTGGAGTCTAGTTCTGCTCCTGAGTGAACCCTGAGCTCGTGGAACAGGGTGATCCGGTCCTGCGTCTCCGGCGTTTCACCGCTGCTGATGTCGCCGTGAAAAACCCACCACTTCAATCCAGGTTAAAAAAGCAAACGTGACAAGATTTACTCTTATTAGCAAAAGTTATAATCAAATGTAATAAAATAATTTCACTTTATCTGACAAATCCTCATCCTCGTTCTTTCAAAAAAAACCTCTGTTCACTTCCCTGTTTTCCTTGACTTTGACACGTCAGCCTTAAAGGTTGTATAGAGGATTTTTTAAGGGAAGTTAAATACAGCGACGGTTCTTTTTCAAATGTTGTGCATGTGTGACACCACCTTCCTCCTCCACAGCTCCTCAGTAGAAACATCTCGTCCCGCCTCTTTACTCTAGAAATCACGCTTGTTTACAGCCGTCGCGTGTTCAGATTTACTGTTGAAGTTTCCCGTCTAGAAATAATTTAATGACCGACGTGTCTTTTGTTTTTTGTTTTTAGACTCTTCGTCTGCTTCAGTCGCGCCGTCGCTGGAAGGAATCTCCAAGAATCACCCCAGTTTTTCTTCGCTCCTTTTCTCCTTCTCTTCTTCTTCTTTCGGCAACCTCAAAAACCGACTTTCTTTTGCCGCGAACTGGCCGTCGATTCTCGTCCGACATCGCGACAAACTTTGTGCGAAATGCGAGGAAGCGACAGTTTAAAAAAAAACGCACGCTGCGCGTAAACGACGTAACCCCCGCGCGCCGACGAGTCAGTTACACTAGAAACGCAAGGAGTTTGAGTGACGACCTAACAGCCAATAGAAAATGAGGGAGCCTCGTTTTCTATTGGCTGATGTTTATCTGGCCTCAACACGTCCACAGTTGATGGATTTTCATTCTTTTTTTTTGTGCTCATCATAATTACAAGGCTGTTGAGTCTCTGAAACCAGGACTAAACCAGAACTAAACCAGGACTAAACCAGGACTAAACCAGGACTAAACCAGGACTAAACTAGAACTAAACTAGGACTAAACTAGAACTAAACCAGGACTAAACTAGAACTAAACTAGGACTAAACTAGAACTAAACCAGGACTAAAACCAAAACTAAACCAGGACTAAACCAGGACTAAAACCAGAACTAAACCAGGCTAAACCAGACTAACCAGAACTAAACTAGGACTAAACTAGAACTAAACTAGGACTAAAACCAAAACTAAACCAGGACTAAAAACCAAAACTAAACAAACAGGACTAAAACCAAAACTAAACCAGACTAAACCAGAACTAAACTAGGACTAAAACCAGAACTAAACCAGGACTAAACCAGAACTAAACTAGGACTAAACTAGAACTAAACCAGGACTAAACCAGGACTAAAACCAAAACTAAACCAGGACTAAACCAGAACTAAACTAGGACTAAACCAGGACTAAAACCAAAACTAAACCAGGACTAAACCAGAACTAAACTAGGACTAAACCAGGACTAAACTAAAAAGCATGACAATATGAAGTAATCCAAAGTATTCAGATTACATTACTCACTTTAAGCAATTTAATGGATTCTGTTACAAACTACATTTTGGTGTGAGTAATCTGTAATCTGTAATCTGTAATCTGTAGTAACGGTATTTTAAACTTTCATTGACAATTTGAAACTGAAAAAAAAAAAAAATCCTCCATACGACCTTTAATATCCGGGCTGCCTCCGCCTGCACAACTGGAGGCATTCATCATCTTAAAAAAAATAAAATAAAATAAAAAAAAATAACATCCGCACCTGTACCAGAAAAATAAACAAAAGCAGCTGAGCGGGAGATTAAAAACCTCTGAACGTTTATCTGATCGGAACTCGGCGCCGTTTGGGTTTTAAGACGGAGGCGGAGTTCCAATCCCTAATCTCCAACATCAACACGGAAAATACGGGCACAATTTACAGCGCTGCACATCGTTTAAAAAAGCTGCATCGTGTAGTTTTTCCCGTGGAGGGTCCGTCACCTGCTCGTTTCCGTGGATACGTCGCGGCTCTGCCTGGAAGTGTGACATTTTTAAACAGCTCTCTACTTTACGTTTATTCGATTACAGGTGGTTTTATGGATCAGAAATGCCTAGAAAAAAACGCGAAACTTGGCGTTCTGACTGCGAGCGGCGTCGCCTCTCCGCAGATCTGACCTGTAACTTGGTCTGGTTTGGTCTGGTCTCCATGGAAACAGAAAGAAAACAGTAAAAATTCAAGTTTTTTTAAGGTATTTTTGAGCTATAAAAACACCTATAATTGGTTCAGAGCAAGTTGTTTAAAGCCGTACTGTGGGACATTAAAGGCAAAGAATTAACCATCACAGAGACAAGCAGGCGACGTCACAAAGTTACAGGTCGGATCTGTGGAGAGGCGAGTCCACTTAGAGGAAAAATTCAAGTTTTTAAGGGATTTTTGAGCAATGAAAACACCTGTAATTGACTAAATTTGATCATGTTTAAAGCCATACTCTGGGACATTCTAGGCAATGCATTAACAACATGGAGACAAGCAGGTGACACCACAAAGTTGCAGGTCAGATCTGTGGAGAGGCGAGTCCACTCACAGTTAGATTTCATGTTTTTTCAACATATTTTTGAGCTATAAAACACTTGTAATTGACTAAATGCAAGATGTTTAATGCCGTACTGTGGGACATTCCAGACAAAGTATTAATGTCACGGAGACAAGCAGGTGATGCCACAAAGCTATAAAGCTACAAGTCAGATCTATGGAGAGGCGACCCCAGGGAACAGTAAGATTTAAAGATTTTTTAAGGTATTTTTGACCAATGAAAACAGCTGTAATTCACTAAACACAAGAAGTTTAATGCCATACTGTGGGACATTTCAGGCAAAGCAACAACATCATGGAGACAAGGAGGAGAGGCTATAAAGTTACAGGTCAGATCCGTGGAAAGGCGAGCCCGCCAAGAGTAAAGATTCAAGTTTTTCAAGGTATTTTTAAGATAGAAAAACACCTGTAATTGACTAAATACAAGATGTTTAATGCCATATTGTGGGACATTCCACGCAACGCATTAACATCATGGAGACAAGCAGGTGACGCCACAAAGCTGCAATGTTACAAGTCAGATCTGTGGAGAAGCGAGCCTGTTCACAGTAAGATTTAATGTTTTTTCAAGGTATTTTTAACAAAAAAACATCTCTCATTGACCAAAGGCAAGATTGATGTTTAATGCTGTACTGTGGGACATTCCAGGCAAAGCATTAATGTCACGGAGGCAAGCACGTGAGGCCACAAATCTACAAAGGTACAAGTCAGATCTGTGGAGAAGCGAGCCTGCTCACAGTAAGATTTAATGTTTTTTCAAGGTATTTTTGAGCAACAAAACACCTGTAATTGACCAAACTCAAGATGTTTAATGCCATACTGTGGAACATTCCAGGCAAATTATTAACATCATGGAGACAAGGAGGTGACGCCACAAAGTTACAAAGCTACAAGTCAGATCTGTGGAGAAGCGAGCCCACTCAGAGTTAGATTTTATGTTTTTTCAAGGTATTTTTGAGCAATAAAAACACCTGTAAATGACTAAATTTGATGATATTTAATGCCATATTGTGGAATATTCCAGGCAAATCATTAACATCATGGAGACAAGCAGGTGTCACTAAAAACCTGCAAAGCTATAAGT